ATAACTACGTACTATATATATATATATATATATATATATATATATATATATATAAAGGTAAATATTAATGACTATGGATAATTACTAACTAATCTTATCTTAATCGAGAGACACATAATTAAGAGATATATACCCATATACATACATATCCGTATTGATACGTTTTCATAGTGATGTATAACAAGATATCCATACGCTAACATTCCCCCTTAAACTCAAGATGTTTTTTCTCGAAGAAAGTTTGAACAATAAGTTGCAGAATTAAGTCTTCACGTGTATGACGAGACCAATAGAAGCCGTGGTCGCTTGCTTGAACAAGAAGCACATAATGCACTTCATAAAGCGACACTTGGAAGAGCTAACAAAACTCGGTGTGGATTCGAGACAGATTCATCAACTCGTAGTCCGAGACAGATTCAGCAACTCGCGGTCCAAAACACATGTCAAAACAAAGACAAAGGTTGTTTTGCAGAGAGTCGAAACAAACTCGACAGAAAGTCGAAACTTGACTCAGAAGCCTTTGACAGTGCTTCCTTGGTTTATGAGTCTCTCTCACTAAACTGAGAGTGTTGATTGATTCAACCATGGACGAAAATAAGAATTGAAGTTTTTGGACGAAGATAAGGAGCTGAACTTTTTGCCAAGACAAACTACAAGTCGATCTGTCTTTTTCCTTTGATGGTAATGGCCGAGATTAGGGGTCACTATCCTTTGATGGTAATGGCCGAGATTAGGGGTCACTAACCAAAACTCTATTTACATTGAGATCTTTGACAATAGGCAGCATCAACTGGCAATGTCAAAAGCTTTGCACTGAGATCTTTGGCAATAGGCAGCATCAACTAGAAATGTCAAAAAGCTTTGCACTGTCAAAAAGACTTTTACTATGTTTTTGCACCGAAAAAGACTTTTGTTGTTTCTTATGCAAAACACATTCAAAATGCAAGGGAATAGAATGCATGTTAAACTGAAACAAAGGTTTTGTATATAATTTGTATATAGATGGTGTTAATGCTCTTATGTCCTTTTGGGAAAGAAGGGATTAGATTTCTAATGTAGCGTTGGACCAAACAAGGACGTGCGCAGGCAATGCAATTTGACGCAAAATGGTGTAACATAAGAAAAGTCTTTTTCTTGCCCCTACGAATTTTTCTTACTTCTTTTTAAATGGTTGAAATCGTGGAGTTCCACCTTTTTTGCTGGTGGTGTTGTTGATTTGATGTCTATGATTGTGTGTATGTTTGTAAGAGAGAACGAGATGAAGGTGGGGGAGGAGGGGGAGTAGAGGGAGCGGGATAATGATGTTGGCTTTCGGGACAGTGATGTAGGCTTTCCGGGTGATAGGATAGAACATTTGTCTTTTAAAATATTTTTTGTATTGTTAAGGCATGTCGGTCTTCATCCTTTTGAAAGATGTCGGCCTGATTCTTTACTTATTGTCACTTTCAAACATCTTTTCATCAAGATGAATATCAGCTTGTATAGGAAAATGATCACTGATCTCTAAGTTATTTAATCACGGGTTATAATTTACCTTGGATTTCTTACAATCAGATGAAAGGAGCCTCAAATTCACATAAAAGATGATAATTATCTTTTAACTTCTCAAGCCACACCAAGACTTCCTAAGAACCCACCTACCATTTTTGCATATACACTAGTTCAGTATAACTCGAATTAAAACCAAACATCTGTCAACTGGATCAGAAATTCCAAAAAACTGATTATCATTAAGCAATGGTCCTGACTTGTAAAGACTGCAATGCTCCAGTGGTTGTTGGATCAATGGGTGTCACATCAGAGACCACAAGGACCAAGTCCCCTGATTGAACCACCCCCCTCTTCTCTGCAAGACCAAATGATCTCCTAAAGTTTTCTTCCATGTCAATGGACAGCTCAATTCCTATGGGGATAACTCCCCAATGAAGGTTCAGAGCCTTCCTGGTGTTGTCAATGTCGGTGAATGCAAATATAGGGGAGTAGGGGCGGTTGCGAGATAAGAGGGAAGCCATGTAGCCGTACCTTGTGTAGACAAATATAGCATCAACTGCGAGGTTATTAGCTGCAAAGAAAGAGGTATTCAATGGTCCTTTCAACATAGAAGTGTAGGAAATTTTGATGAGTTTCAATGGTCCTTTCATCATAAAACTGTAGGAAATTTTGATGAGTTTCAGTGAAGTTATGGTGTTCAGTTCATTGTTCAATGGTTTGAGCTCAGTAAAGTATTACTCAATTTGAAGGACTTTGCTGACAGTTAATTGGCCAACAATGGATGTGAATGTTTCATGGTAAACTACAGAAACCAAATTTGCACTTTTTCCCAAAAGTGGGCCAAAGAAAAAAATAAATGCATAGGATTACTTAAAATGATCATGATGCATTGGTCATTTCCAGAAACAAACAGAAAGGATGCAAGTCTCTCATATAAGAAAATGGGTCGTCATCATCCCATCAGTGGCATGGAAGTTGAAGGAAAGAGAGTGGGTCTGCTACCCATTGATAGCACAATGATGATCCTTATGACCACATATTATTATGTTTTCATCTCAATCATTATCATACTTTCCCAATAACAAGAATTTTATGATTCAAAATTCACACCATGGGCTATAATACAATATATAAGAGTAAGGATAAGAACATACCAATTTCAACAGCAGAATTGCAAATTTGTTCGGCAATCTGGTCGGGAAGTGATGTCCCAAGCTGCAGTGGAACAAAAGAGTTGTGGTGCCTCTCCTCCTGACACCAACCTTCCATGCGAGCACTTGCTAAACGCAGCACCCCAAGAGCCTTGTCTGAGTACATTCCAATTGCTGACTCACCAGATAACATTAGGGCATCTGCAAGTTGACGCACGGCCTCTGATACATCTGCCACCTTAGGCAGAAAAAAAAATCGCTATGTTTGAAATAATTCCTCTTGACCCATGTCACAAAATTGAAATAAAAAAATAAGTACTAAAGTAAATATGGCAATTGGTGTATGACATGAATGCTTGATTTGGTGTGAATAGCAGTACAGTCCAGTTGCTATGGTTCATTGATATTCACTCAAGCCATGCCAACTAATTAGTCTAAGATAGCGATCTTATAAAAAGAAAAGAATTACGACTGCACCAATAACCATATTTCAACTTTGTCCACTTGAAGCATGTCCCAACAATAAAATAGAATAAAACTACATAATTAAACAAATATAG